GCTCTATTTGCTTTCAATTAATGGAATAAAGATTGCTTTCAAACTAACACAATTCTTTTATTAAAAAACAACAACTAGAGGAGAGAGTCAAACAAAAAAACACATCAGCACTGAGGGGATGCGGGAAGGGAAGGGAAAGTCCCAGGAGGAGGTGGGATCCCGGGATGGTTAAAGATTTGTGTATGTCCAGGGATCATATCCAACATTTTCCTTTGGAGTACAGTTCAGCGGGTATTGTACTTCAGCAGGGCCAAACTGCAGAGGAGCAGGTGTTGACTGCAGTGGGTACTGGGAGTCCGCAAAGCTGGACTGTGACGGGGGAGGAGTGGAATGCAGCAGGTACAGACTGGAGCCAGGAGGTTGATAAGCATGTGTTGGCAGTGTCTGGGGGGGTGCATGGGAAAGAGTTTTGTGACAGCGGCTGCAGGGGAGGGTGGACGTGGAACTGCTCGATTTGAAGAGCTAGTATCGCCTGGAGCGTGTCCGTTTGGCGCTCCATAATGTTTAAGAGCCGCTCCGTGGCTTCTTTCTGGTGTGCCGCGGTCGTCTTTTGGTCCCTCTTCTCACTGTCCTGCCACTTCTTCAATTCCTATTTTTCGGCAGCAGAGTGCATCATGACCTCACACAGAAAGTCCTCTTTAGTTCTTCATGGACGCTTTCTAATTCTGCGCATCCGTTCAGCCACTGATAACAAAGGGAGAGGCTGGGCTCCCAATGTCGTCTCTGTGAAGTTTAAACACATTTTACAGAAGCAGTATTGTTTGCAACACAGACAACACTGATTCAGTGCTTTAAAACACAGCCAGTACTCTCACACCTGTCGCAAACTGGCTGACCCCAGGCAAGCACACATGAGCAACAAGACACCCAAAATGGTGAGTAGCCGCAGGGGCAGGGTAAATCACTGATCCCGGCCCCGTGCCGCAGATGGATCCCAGCTCCGGCTCGTGAGTCGCTTGCCGAGCCTTGCTCCATGGCGTTGCTGGGCTGGGTCAGGCTGGGCCCTGACTGTCCCGTCATTGTCCGGGGTAACCGCCACCCCGGATCCACAAGCTCGCCCTGCTCCACACGGGGCTCGCCAGCCAAGTGGCCTTAAAGGCACAGAGGCCCTTTCGCCTCCCCCCCACCCGCCGCAATGGGATGCGGGGGCCGCAGAATATTTCACTGGGCCACGAGCCGCTGCTGGGAGATGCTGCTGCCACATTAGCAAGGGGCGGGGAGCGCTTGGCCGCTGAGCCCTGAGCCGCTGCAGGAGGTGGCTGCAGTGATGTTGGGGCCGTGCTGAGCGTGGGGCGTGATGGCCGAGGAGCTGGCCCCCTCGCTTCTCCGGCCGTGCCTGCTGCCCCCCCCCCATGGCTCCTCCGGCTGTGCTGCCCTCCGCGCCGGCCCGGCAGGCACCGCTTTTGGAAAATGTGCTGACGGGAAGCAGCTGCTTCCCCTGCACCCCGCTAGCTATGCTACTGGTTGCAACCGAGTATCGCGTCCAGCTTTTTGTAGAACTGGCAGCTCATGGGCGCAGCACCAGAGCGGCGGTTTGCCTCCCATGCTTTGTGGTAGGCATTCCATAGCTCCTTCACTTTGACCCTGCAGTGTGTCCCGGTCATGTCCCCTTTCAGTTATGCATCGTGAAATCTGTCTGTAGGTATCATAATTCTTACAGCTGGAGCGCAGCTGGGACTGGACAGCCTCCTCTCACCAAATGCCAATGAGGTCCAGCAGCCTGGCATTGCTCCAAGGGGGAGATTGTCTTGTGTGTGAAGCAGGTATGGCCACCTGGAAAGATGCGCTGAGACCACTGCACATATAAATTGGAAAGGGTCCAAAGAAGAGCAACAAGAATGATTAAAGGTCTTGAGAACA